TCAGACGATTGATAGTTATGCTTTCTCGAAATGGACCCCATTTAATATGTTGTTTATGTTTTATGACTGCCTCGTTGGCCGAGTGGTCGCAAGTGCGACTGCCGGGCAATGGGTTTCGGGTTCGATTCTCGGGTCGGGCAAAGTATGTATTACTGTGTTTTTAAAATAAATCGCAATAGTAGCACTGGGTCTGGAATCGTGCCCGATATATGGCAATAGGCTCACCCCCTATTACAAGGGACTCATAACATAAATAGTGAAAAGTGGGTTTCACATTGTACAGTGACATTAAGTGCCATTATGTGCACCTCTGCCTAGCCTTCAAGGATAAAAGGCGTGATGTTATGTGTGTTTATATTTTATTATTATTGGTGACATAAACTAACTCGTAAGTTTTAATGTAACGACTAACAATTACCTACATATTTATAACCACCTCCTCCTAGTCTAACATAGGTTCCCGAGCGTACGGCGCGTCGCGTTCGGCGCGTCGCGTTCCGCGCGCGCCTCAAAGAGCCATCAGACCACCACAGATGGAGCCCAATAGGGCCGATGCCGATTCAGAGTCGCGGAGAACCTAACGGGTAACCGGGGCTCCAGCTTGACGTGCAGGAGAAGGAACAGGGTGGTTTTTAGTCAGTAAGAGTCTGACACTCCCTTCCGCCTCACCCAGGCGGGAGCAGCCATTCGATGATTTTCCCCCCTTAAAAAAAAAAGTCTAACATAGGTTTTATTCATGGACCTGAACATATTTTGATTTCATGATTGTCAGCAATAGCATAAAACACATTATTTACCTTTTGATTTATGAATTCTGTTGCTAACCAGTATTTTTAGATAAAGCATGGTGGCGTCAAACTCTGTTGTTTACAGTTTATTGGTTTCCGGAGTAGGATGGACAACTGCCGTCAAAAAACAAATGGGAGACAAAATGATACTACTAAATTGTTATGAAAAACTTTTCCATTTTTATTACTTGTGTACAAATGGTTCCTTATAGTAATTGCGGCTTTGTTTATGAAGTTTGAGTTTATAAAAAAAAGTTATTTTTCTACTGTTCTTGTTTTTGTCATTCAATGTCCATTATTTGATTAACATTTTTTTTATTAACGTACTTCAATATTACACTATAACTGCAGTAATATCGATATCACAAAGATGAACAAACACACGTATACCTACATTTAATATTAACCATTCTTGTCATACATCGGAACAGGATCCACGCACAATTGACGTCGAATCGTGACGTCGTTTAACTAAATTTAAAATGGACGTTGTTATGCAAAAGTTTATCAACCTATAAATCAGTTAAATAGGAGAACAGGGACGGACTGGACAAGAAGAGTTGGGGTGGCATCCGAAAACTTAGAACAAAGTGAAACACGACTCTAAAGTATTAAGACAGTAACTTTCGTTTTTAAACGGTTTTATTTTTTCTCATCAACTTAGCGACTTCAGTTTATTGATAATCTCTGGTTCGTTCTTTTGGGTCCCACCAATCTGGGACCCAGGCTGGGTCCCAATCCCAACTCACAAGTACAAGTTGTAACCATTTTGTCTTTGATTATTATGAAAATATGACCATTCCAACTTATATTTGACATTTTTTTCAGAGAAAATAATATCTGATTTTGAAGCTATTCATAAAAAATTTGATTTGTATGAATCTCAATGTAAACTTGAACATTTTCTCATAACTTCATCCAACTTATAACGTCAGTCGTTCAAAAGTGATCTATTTATGTGGTATTAAATACATATGTAAGCTTTTTACATTATGTATCGCACAGCTGTTTTGAAGTTAAGCTCTTTATTTATACTATCGCAGCCACACGGCACTACTCGTTCATTTTACTTTAATGTCTTTAAATCCCAAAGAATGTTAGATTTTCTTTTTCTTTCCAGAGTTTTCGTGGTCATGGGAGATTAAGATTATTTTTACTGTTTAGGTAATGGTAAACAAACAGTATCGTTCTAGTTTTTTGTTAAAGATATATAGGTATGCTTTTACAGAATATGCAGAAGTGCCAAAGTACATAGATAAAAGGAAAGTCGAAGATGGAAAAAAGAGAACATTGACAAAAAGTTTAAATTGACTGCACGGTTGGCGCGGTGGTTGGGCAACTGGCTGCCGCGCAACGTATCGCGGGTTTGATTCCCGCACGGAAGAACTCTTTGTCTGATTCACAGATTGTTGTTCCGGGTCTGGGTGTCATGTGTATTTGAACTTGTATGTTTGTAAACGTACTCGGAGAAAATTATAGTGTGGGGCAACGTTTGAAACAAAAAAAAATAGAGAACGTGGAGAGAAAGTAGAAAGAGTAGAAACTTTATAAGAATTATAGGGAAAAATTGTAAACTCAGTTATATGGTGCCCGTGTTACCAACCCCATCTAGCTAAGAATACGAGCAGAAACCAGAAGTACTTACTACCTATGTTTCAGTTTTCCATTTTGATCAGTATTATTTTCTTTTTGTATTACATCTAAGTATATAAATAAAAATAAACTTCCGTTCGTTAGTCCCGCTAAAACTCGAGAACGGCTGAACCGATTTGGCTAATTTTGGTATTGAAATCTTCGTGGAAGTCCAGGAAAGGTTTAGTTGAGGAAAACCTTTTTAGGCGGTACGAAGTTTGCCGGGTTAGTAATTATGATAACATATAAAAGTATACAATCAGGGTATAATAATACGTCAACTATAAAAAAGTGATAATGACTATAAACCTATATAAAACTGTACAATCAGGGTCAATACGTCGATAACTGTTTCGATGTTTACAAAAAAAGTCACAAAATCTCAAAAACATCATTATTTCTTTACGTCATTCCATTAAATGATAAGTTACTTTTGCATTCTATTGTGTTTTGTATAAATTAGGTACATTATTTCTGAGAATCTTCCTTAGACATGTTTTTTGTCGAGTGGTTTTCCTTATTTATTATAATTAGTATGTACTGTGATTCAAAATATGTTTAGTTTAAAAGGAATTGGTAAAAAAAATGTGGTTGCGTACCTCTACCTTTGATAAATTCATTTTAATGTTATCCTAAAATGGTAATCTGAGACTTAATACCCTGGTCTTGTCTTGAACCTACCCTAGTCTTGAAAAATACCTTCTCAGGATTTTTTGGTATGTTTTGCTTTTAATTACATACCTACATATTAAAACGTATAAGTTTCTTCTCATGAATCCATCCAAGAGTAGTCTATTATTAAATTAAGCACTGTAGGACTAACGGGTTGCCGGGGTGCGAAGTACAGGAGTAAGAACGGGGTGGTTTTTAGTCAGTAAGAGTCGGACACTTTTTCCCGCCTCACCCAGGCGGAGGAAATCACTCGATGATTTTCCCCTTTAAATAAAAAAACAAAGACGCAGGCTCAAAAGCAGATGGCGGGACGAACTGGGCATGTATGACAAGGATTAGCCGCAAAAAGTTTTACATAGAGAGGAGTGGAAGCACGGTAGGGAGGCCTTTGCCCTGCAATGGGACGATCAAGGCTGAATATAAACAAATAAAATAAAAGTTATTACAATTTATTAAGATGTACGATAAAAGATTTATATCAAACTTATAGTCGTGCTTTACATGTGTAAGTAGACATCTATAGATAGCCAAAGCCATAAATTGATATAAACAGTTGACTTTGTAGTCGATACATACGATACTTGAATACATAATAGTTACTTCATAATGTGGTACCTCCTTAGTAATAGATTCAAGTTATTTATAAAGAACATAAATCAGACAGTCTTGAACTTGGTTTATTAGCCGGTAACATGGGTATAATATTAAAGTTGGATTTGATTGTTAAATTGAGCAAACTGTCACTCCGTAGTTACAGGGGAAATCGAAGTCTTTATGGGTTTAGCCGGTAAACAAGCAGACGGATGGATTGATGGTAAGCAATCAGCGCTGCCCATGGACATCCGGGACACCAGAGGTGTTACAAATGCGTTACCGGCCTTTTAGGGATTAGGAATTAGAGGATTTTTGGGGATTCAGGGATTGGGGAGATTGGCAGTGGGGGACCTGCTGTAACCTCACTCACACGACGAAACACAAGATAAGTTCTTTCACGTCGGTTTTCTGTGAGGCCGTGGTATCACTTCGGTCGACTCGGCACATTCGTGCCGAATCATGACTCACCCACAATTGAATACTTTAATTCCGTCAATTATGTAAGTTCTTATCAATGTATTAACTAACTACCTATTTAGAACAATATTATCATAATATTACGCCCTTTATTGTTCAAAAGGGTAAGGAGAATTAAGCCGATGCTGATACAGACTTGGCCGCTCTAGACATTAGATCGAAGAACGTAATGTTTATGTTAGGTACTACAAATCATTGTATCAATCATTTAAAACATGTAAAACTTATCTACAACAAACACTCTTATTTCCTACCAATAAAAGCTGTTTTGGCAAAGCAAACATCCGTTGAATCGCACTTTTAGCTAGCAACAAACAAATGGGAAACAGCTGTTTATTTTTCCACATAATATTATTTATTTCATACGTTTAGATGTATATTTTCTTCTTACATTTTCTTAATAACATTATTAGCTAAGATTCTAGACATATATCATGTGTAAACTGTGTCCGGTTGTCCTAAAATTTCTAATTAATGGGGTGAATCGCATAACTCAATTCTAATGTTATTTTTAGCCGATTTTACAGAAATTTGCTGCTAATTTTTGGTTACGTAAATTCAAAGTCTAGTAACAGTAGATGTCTTTCTACATTTCAAGTTAAATGTACGTACCTTCTTACCTATTTAACCCAAAAAACAATTTATTTATAGCATAAACTTCAAAACACGATTTAGGTACATTATTTATGATGTTTAGATATATATTTTGAAGTCACTTTTAAAAACAACAATCTCTGAATCAACAAGGAAAATCATATAATAAAAACAAACAAAATAAAATGAAATACCTTCTTCGTGTTTACATTACATATGTAAATTAGTCATAGACTATATAACGAAATGAAACAATAGACTACCGCAAAAAAAAGAAATATAATTTTCAGAGTAACTATGTAAAAACCCGTGGGTAGACTATGAATGAAAAGGGTCAGCAGCCATCGTCAGCGTGTAATCAACAGTTTGTTCAGTAAATGATGTAAATAAGAGTGACGCCATTTTATATTTACGTATGTAATGTACGTAGTCGAGAAGTTAGGGAACGTTCCGCCCGCCCCCGCGACGGTGCCGGCTTGGGCGGGCGGACTGCAACTCTAACAGTCAACCAGCCGAGTTCGAGCCGAAAGCTCGCTCATAAACTCAAGTGCAACCAAAAAGTTTTGTGACATAAATTAATATGGCTGTACGTATCACTTGGCAACACTATCTCTACACTATACTCACTAATAAATTCCTTCCTAATTACCATCTAATTATCTGTTTCACATTTGTCTTTTTAACTGTTTTTTTATGTGTCGCGATGTCAATTTTCTACTATGTATGTTTACCTGAACAGTGCTATCAGTAATCTTTTTAAGATTCACTATCCTAAAATGTTTATCAATTCTTCTGAACTAATCATAACAGCCAGTTCAGTTATTTTACATTTTAACACTCGCACACTTCATAATCTAAACAATATAGACTCAATAACAAAACAAAGTGAGCATCTAAAAGTTTGTTTTAACAAAAGTACTGTACCTAATATTACTGTGCGTTGATGACGTCAATAGTGTTGGAATACTTTAGATTAATGAGGAACGCACGCGCAGCTGCGGCCCGCCTATCATCTGTTACCTCCTTTAGGTTGCTCTTAAAAGCTCTCCAGATGTACCCCGGTCCCTTCAGTATGGGATAACAGAGATCTGTTTCGTAAACGATGCTATTTTCGGAGGTGATGCTGGAATCCGCTCGTTCGCCATCAAACGACTTGGCACTGGAGCGAATGTTTTACGGCTACCGTCCGAAACTTGCAAGTTTCGATTTTTTTACACAATTTATGAGCTTCAGTTGTAATCACAGATCAATTTTGTTGCATATACTAGCTCTGTTATTTACCAAACGCTCCCAATTGAAATGTGATATGTTCAAAGTAATAATAGTATTACTATCTTCCAGCCTAGGAACAAGGAACAAGAACAGGAGGTGCTGAACTGGATCAGCGCCGTCCTTGGAGAGCCCCTCCCCAGCGCCGCCTATGAAGACTACCTGAAGGATGGCGTTGTTCTCTGCAAGCTCATCAACAAACTGGCCCCAGGATCAGTCAAGAAGATCCAGGAGAGGGGAACCAACTTCCAGCTTATGGAGAACATCCAAAGGTAAATCATCAAAAAACAATTTCCTCTTCAACTAGATTTGTAAACAAAAAACAAACGAAGAGCTGCCAAAAAATTGGGAATCATTTTTTAAAAGTAACGCGTTCTTAGAAACTCGTCTTGTTCGAGAATTGTCTTGAATTGACTAATTTTAATTTTTGTTTCGATTATTTCAGGTTCCAAGCCGCCATTAAGAAGTACGGAGTGCCAGAAGAAGAAATTTTCCAGACCGCTGACCTGTTCGAGAGGCGTAACATTCCTCAAGTCACACTCTGCTTATACGCTTTGGGCAGGATCGTAAGTAGCCCTTCCATAGGTACCTTATATAAGAATTTGCAGCTTAAAGGGGTATCAATCTAACTTTTCTATTATTTCTTTTCTAGACTCAGAAGCACCCTGAATGGACTGGTCCTCAGCTAGGACCTAAGATGGCGGAGAAGAACGAGCGTACCTTCACTGAGGAGCAGCTCCGTGCCCACGAGTCGGAGCTGAACCTGCAGATGGGTTTCAACAAGGGAGCTTCACAGTCAGGGCACGGTGGCTTCGGCAACACCCGCCATATGTAATTCACCACCTCATCGCCACTTTCCTATGCTTGAGACCAACCGAACTATTCGGAATGAAACAGTATTCTTATGTATGTCAAATGAAGGTCGAAAATTACGATTTGTACTCTCTTCCAAGTCGATGTCTGCAATGCTTAACAACGTCAAAGATTGTGTGATAGTTTTTAATTGATTACTATTATTATAGTAGGTACCTATTATAACTTCTAACATCGCTATACTATTTTCGTTAAGTATTTTTTTATAAATATTTAATTGTAAATATTTAACTTTATCTAATAAATATCGTTTGTAAGTAGTGTTTTGTTTTATTGTGATGTTTTCCCTGAAGTCTTTTAGGTGATGGAGGAAGGCCAAAAATACGATTATGAGCTTACTAAAACTAGTAGACAGATGTTTTTCATGTTTTATTTACATGAAGATGTTGATGGTATGAATAGCTGTTGAGTATTATCATTACGTGAATCACTACATAGTACAAAACAAAGTCGCTATCCGCCGTCTGTCTGTCCCTATGTATGCTTAGATCTTTAAAACTACGCAACGGATTTTGATGCGGTTTTCTTTAATAGATAGAGATCTATTAAATCCGTTTCTTAAGAATCACTCTTGATTTTTAAGAAAGCTTTATAAGTATAATACATGGGTTTTGCACCCGTGCGAAGCCGGGGTGGGTCGCTAGTATTAGAATATAATGTTAATTATCATAATTTTACAAAAGAAATCATACTTTCAACATTATTTCTTGTTTTTATTTTCTATCTAAATTCCGTTTATCGGATCGTCGTTTCGTGTAAGGACATTTTGGGACAACAAATTCTAAGCGGTCAGTGCTATTCAAAACTGAGCGCTTAGAATTTTGTTTTTTTTTTGCGCTTAGCTCTGAATACATAATTAATAAAAAACTGGAATGAATTTTGTATTTTATTTTTGTTGCGTCGAACACATATAGAAAGATTGTGTTTATTTTATAGAGACATTCGGCGTCAAGGATTTTAAACCAGCTCCCTGAGCACTGGTTTCCTGCATAGATACATGAATGTCAATAAAATCTAAGCATCCTGGACCAATGTTCAGTCTAGATGGAATCTACCAGTATTGTACAGAAAATGCTCCGTCCGTATAGAATCAGACTTTCCTCACGAAAGTTACACACGGCGACACATCAATCTATACAAAACCAGTTTATCCTGGTGTCGCGTCGCATCATCTTTCCGCACATTTAACGTTCAGTTTATACTGGTTATGTTCTTTATACTATGTCGATGTGTAGCCGTGTGTACATGGACATATTTAATTATCTAGTATGCAACACAACCTACGCATACTCCACAGCATTTCTGGAGTAATAGAATAATTTACTATGTGTTACAATTTAATACTGGCAGACCTTGGGGTTTTACGACAACTTTATGACTTAGAAGAATAATTACCTTAAATCTAATCAATCATAACTAGTGCACTTGTGCCAAATATCTTAGTTGACAGGTAACAGAATTATGAGGATACAGAGGTGGGCCCAGGGTATTGAGGTTTGCAATTAAAATTAAGGTTATTTTAGCGAATCATTTATGCGCTGGTCTCCAGAGATTGATTGCATCAAGTTCGATAAATTAAAAAAAAAACATTTTTGCGATTCTTACGCATCGATGAGAGAAAAAAAACTTAAGAAAATATAACTAGGAAACCTAGGAAATGGTGTTCCTGTGTAATAGAGGCGAATTAGGGGCATTACAATGTAACCTAAAAAAGGCATTAACTAAAAATCGACGGCGAGAGTAGACTGCGCGACATCGCCGCGACCGTGCACGCTGCTCATGAGGAAGAACCCCTCTGTGGTTCGAAACTAGTAGAGATTTTCTCAGTATTACGTGTGAGTAACCCGCGATTTTATTTTAATTTAGTATACTGTGTCACGATAGTTACCTAAATTTAACTCTGTCTGTGGACCATGGACAAGACTTCATTTTTCATTTTTCTTTATCTTTGAATCTTGGTATTTTTAATTTAGGTATATGTATATCTCTATTATTTCTATGATACCTTTGTTACCCTCGCTTTATATTATATTTTATTTTTTGTAGTTTTTAGTTATGTTATGTGTGTTCTGCGCAAGAATAAATGTTTTTTCTTTCTTTCTTTCTTTCTTCTATTATAAAAAGATAAAAAGGCATTATTGGATTAATCGTAACAAAGAAAAACAATCATTATGAAAACGATGTCCAACGAATAAAGGATTATAATGAATAATTTGAACACTAATTTCCGATTGCAATAGGATTAGCATTACGGATTATGATTAATTAATGCGCGGACTATCTGGCTGGCGATAAGGTATAAGAGGTAAGTACAAAATTAAAATTTATAGGTCATTAAAGGTTATGTTGACCTAGGTCGTCGTACTTAGTAATTGCGTCATTTATTTATTTTTAAACAGCCACAACGGTAAAAAAGCAGTTACAGTAACTGAAATATATTGTCATCAGGCAGTAGTACCCATAAAATAGGTTTCAGGAAACAAACAAAAATGCTTTTTTTTAAGGGGGAAAATTATCCAATTATTTCTCCCGCCTTTGGTTATGCGAGAGGGAGTGTTAGAGTCAGAGTCTTACTGACTAATAACCACCCCGTACCTATTCCTGTTCTTCAAGCCGGAGCCCTGGCAACCCGTTAGGCCTTCCGCGGCTCCGTGTTGAGCATCAGCCGTACTGGGCCCTATTTAAACCAAAAATGCTAATTTATCATGCATTTTGTATAGCTGGTGGCCGTTTTAAGACATACATAGGATTTAAAAAGTCTGGATTTATAGGACAAACAAGCTAAATAGCAAATAAGTTATTACCCCGTGAGAAATTTATAGAAGTATTTTTAAATCGAAATGAGATCAAAACTCTCGAAAAATATCTGAACGGAATGTTTAAGAAGTTACTTCGAATTGAATGGCTCATTAATTAATATCAATCCCGAATCTGGGTCTTTCCAGAATAGTGCCAGACAGGCAAATATCTTTTCACATAAAATGTTTATCGTTTTGTGGTTTTTAAAATTAATTCTTAACGCTAGGTCGTCATGTTGTTAATTTATTATTTCTTACGCGACGCGTTGCTATTGCTATCTTATTTTTGTGTGTAGACATTTTCTTTTTCTTGTACCATCAGGACGTTGACACTGACAGTGATATTAATTTCCAATTGTAATAATAGAGGTAATTAAGTGTGAGTTCAGAGGTTGTCGTGCTTGATAAACATATAAAAAAATATCGTTTAACTAACGGGTAATGAAATGCAGGGGTATTAAATGTAACTATTACCTCAGTCCCATGTAGACTTTGCTAATAGCATAATAATTTGACTGCACGGTTGGCGCGGTGGCTGGGCAACTGGCTGCCGCAACGTGTCGCGGGTTCGATTCCCGCACGGAACAACTCTTTGTGTGATCCACAGATTGTTGTTCCGGGTCTGGGTGTCATGTGTATGTGATATTGTATGTTTGTAAACGCACCCACGACACAGGAGAAAATCCTAGTGTGGGGCAACATTTTTTTAAAAAGAGAAAAAAAAGAGAAAGAGAATAAGAAAAATTTAAGTATAAGAATTTTCAACCCAAACTCTTGAACCTTCTGTTGCATGGCAAGACTAAGTAAATGTTACTGTGGTTTGTACAAGTACTGGATGTTCCATAATTCCAATTCATTCAGTTTGTTCTTCTGGAATATTCCGCACAATACACTGACGTCAGTAGGACACGCAAAGATCATACACCATCTCCCAATGTCACAGTTTGCAATAAAATTCACGACGCTACGCCATGCGCCAGCCGGCTATTTAGATTTATATTATTTTAGCTCAAAGACATAAGGAGGTCGTTCAACCCATTCATTCTTAAAACTATACAAACCAGCGTTTTTGTTGTACTCATCTTCAGCAAATATATTATGGTCTTTAGTAATACAAACTCCATACACTTTATGTTTGTGGCTTTGAAATGTCGGAGGCAACTTCAAGAGTAGGTTAAGTGTCCTACGATTGTGATAAAATTAAAAAGTTAGGTCAGGGTTTGTTTTTGTATAGTTGTGAAGCAAGCTCACTAAGATACTTGTGTAAGAAGTGAAAGCATATAGAACTAGGAGATAGACTGTTGTTAATACCATATCTCATATATATAGGTATGACTTCTACAGAAAATATCTAGTTAACTATGAAATAGGACTTTAATTCTCAAAGTAAAAGCAAACTGATAAAAATGTGATGGATGGATGTGAAGTAGTAGAAAGAAAATAAAAGTAAGAGACAGCGATAGTACTTCGAAATACCATTTCATTCGAACATATTAAGAACATACTCTTTCATCCTCTGGTATCCTGGTACCTATTATAGAAACCAGCAGCCGACGCGCGTGCAAAGTTTGACACTACACCATCTTGTTTTAACCCACATTATTACTGTATACAAGTGAAGAATAAATAAATTATTACATCAGTTAGCTAATGTTCCAGAAAGAGCAGTTCCATCATTCGAGCGTGGGGGCTACGAAGATTGTTTATCTTGATCCGAAGCCAAGATCCGAAGCCGTTGGATTTATCCGCACGACACACGATACCTTGACATTACGTATTATATTTGTAGACTAATTACTCGTAATTACGAGACATCACACCAAGGTCAAGGGAATGTAAAGGAATACGCCAAATTTCTTCTTAAAGTGCGATAATTACAAAGTATGAAACAATGTTCCGAGTACTTTGGCAAAAGTTCAATTTTCGTCATGTTTGTGGATCGTTTATAAAAAGCTTTACGTTACTACAAGGGTTTTAACTGACTGGAAAATTTCCTCGACAACAGCTCTTACATAGATTATTTTTTGACACTTTCAACCTTATTGTATTTGTATTCAAGGAGACTGTTTTTAATAATGAAAACCTTTGTTTCTCATTTAGGACAAAATATTATAGTGATTCAAATAATATTTTGGTAGAATATGGGGTAAGCTTACTCATTTATTTGTTTGAGGAGCGCATTCTTGCCTATCATTGATTTTTTTTAAATCTCTGATGTAAAAAAATATAGAAAACATTTAGCTCCACCTTAAGGATTATTCTCGAACCAACATAGATATAATTCTAAGCTAAAGTGTCTAGAATTGCAGCCATTATCTTATTTCGTGGCCAAAGCAGGGCAAATACAATCACGTCCAACGATTACCTTACCGGTTAAGGTATGATCAGTACTATTATTTCGCAACCTCCTCTAGATGTCTAGTCTCCGCGTACCTGGTACTTACCAGTGGTTGACTAAACAGCTAAACTGCACCGCTTGCATCTGACTTACGGGTCAAAGTTGTTTAACAACCGCGAGGACAAACCGAGAATTATTATCATTATAAAAGTGTTAAGAAATTCTCTGACGACGAAAATAAAGTATCATAACTATCATGTGTAGTTGTTGATGTGTTTATGTCGTGGACTGTTGATGTGTTACGAACTGTTAACTCATTATATGTGTTTTGATGACATTCTTCATTCTTGTTACAGAATATTACATGGAATATCGAAATATTTCATATTTTTCTTTCTTCGGACGAGTTCGTAAGTTCATCTATACGTTGCCACATTAGTTAGTTCTTAGTCAGAGCTGAGTTTATAGCCAGGCAATAATTATACTATATCGTAATATTCAATAGATACTTAATACATAAAATTGATATCACTTGACAGTCCTTTCTCTTTTTTCTATTGTCCGTTTTGTTACGTTGCAGCATTGCTAGTCTTGTTTGTCCCTTTGCATCATTCTGTGCTTGAGGTCAGTCTAAGGCGTGGTGCATACTTTTAGCTTTTATATAATTTTCTGTATTGTCTAACCCGACACCATCAGTGTCTAATCAGTTTAATATTCAAACGTCAGCTTGTAATTAGGAATATTGTATGCTGATAATATGCTTCAGATGTACTTAAGAACTTTTGGATATGTAAATTTATCATCATAAATTATAGTTATGAAAGAATAGCTGTTAAATAAAAAATATCTCAACAAACAAGGCTGGCGGTGATTGGAGATGAAGAGTTGAAGATCAAGCTTAGAGATGGAACTAATTGTGAATATCATTTCATAAATATTCAAGACAGCTAAGAAAAAAATGGATTTTTTTAATGATACATTTTTATTCTGAAAAATAACTTAAAATGACAACAGGATATCGTAGATTAGATTCAGCAATAGTTCTCCTACGACCGATTTGATTATGAAAAACATCCGAATCGTGTAGGTGGCTCTTTAGTATAGATTAAAGCGTTACCAAGAAACGCACGATATTTCATTCACAAATCTCTAACGCGAAAATACATCACTAACATTGAATATAATTTTAAAAAACTTATCTTGTGTTAAGGATGGATAGGTCACTAAGCAACTGATAGAAGATGAAAGTTTTGATAGACTGTTTGCCAAAGCTGAAACTTAGTATGTAAGGTCACAGGGAAGCATCAATAGAGGCGTATTAAGTCAGAGGTCTTAGTACGATAATCATTTTACGTTATAACCAATCAAAACGAGACTGCGTTCGGTGCTCTGACGGGTTAACCTTACCGGTACCAACCAACTCATGTAAAACAAACTCTTACTAAGGACTTAGAAATGCTTAAATTTTTTATGAAATTTATATGAATGCCCGTTTCCAGCTAGGATAGGAGATATTTGATAACATTTTGCTTCTCATCAACTTATATAAGTTGCTAAGTTTCAGTATGATCATAAAAGAATGGAAAAGGTTGGAGGACGCCTTTGCTGACCGGCAAACAGATCTCCAGAAAATCAGTAAAAGGTATTTTATAGATATTAGATTTAAGTAAAGTTAACAAGTTTTGAATTGTGTAATTACAGTTTTAGGTTGGATCTGAATAAAGGGTTATTTTATTTATTTTTATTTTACTTTACTGCAAGTGACATTTTGTTAAGAGACGGTTTAGGGTCGGTTGGTGAAAACGGCAATAAGAATCCCACGAGCGATGAGCATCGTGGGTAAAAACGATCAGTGGTAGACATAGGAACTATTGTCATTTTTTTAAAAGATAATGCTTTACGTCATTCGTATGCTATGATATAAGATTTACTTACACATGATCATCGCAATACGTATAAGAAACTTAGTTGCATCATTGTGTTAAACACGCCATGCCTTGGAGATGTTTGTCTGCGTAAAATTGTACAAGCATTGATAACTTGATTAAAATAAGACATTAAATTAGTTCTGTGTAATTTTGGAGATCAGAGAGACAATTTTCATATTTGTCGAGAATGATCTGATACTTAAAAGTAATAAGATTTTGAGCTAAACAGAGGTCACAGGCTCAGAACGAGCTTGACGATGCTCGACAGTCGCATTTCCAACCAATCATTAGATTATACTTACAGCGATTACCTTAGTCTAACCCGCATTAACTAAAAAGTTCAAGGTGATCTAGCACTTACAACCACGGCACACTTGCGATTCATATGCCCAGTGATGCGACTAAAATGAAGCAATGAAGGTTTGCGCAAAGTAAAGAGCAAATTATAAAGCAAGTCATCGTATGATCTGAACGAGTATGGAAACAAGAAGAGTTCCTCTGTCCATATGTTGAAAGATTGTGCAAAGAACTTGGACGAAAAACATCGCGCGATCGACAGTGACAAAATATCCAACGCAACCTCTTTCAAATCTATAGATAGACATGAAAACGCAATAATGAATACATCTGTTTGTGAATCAAAAATAGATGCTCCAATTTTTCTAATGCATTTTTTGTTGGATGTGCGAGCTCGGAATTGATACAAAATTGAAAGCAATGTGTTTGGTTTTCGTAGAATTTAAGTGCTGCAGCTATTGTTGGTCAGACTCTTACTGACTAAAAACCACCCCGTTCCTTCTCCTGCATGTCGAGCCGGAGCCCCGGTTACCCGTTAGGTTCTCCGCGACTCCGAATAGGACTAGATAGTAGTAAGAACATTTTTGACTTCTCAATTGTTTTTAAACAGATTAAATGCATAAGCAGTTAGTGCCCAAATCATTCAACGCAATTGTAGGATATGCTCAAATTAAATAACTCATCATAAGATGGGTGCGCTCAGCGGAACATTATTAATTCAAAAACAGCACCAATCAATGGTTGAAAGGGCAATTAAATAACCGGTAATGTAATGATCACGTAAAAGGTAAAATTTACAACCGTAAAATCCTAGAAAATTAACCAATATATACTTAAACATACGAACAGACTATTACCAAACGGTCGTGTTGAAGAAGAGGGAATCGATGTAACGGAACGAATGTAACACTTACTGTATACTTACTACACGTAAGGTCTTAATTGCCAGTCAACTGGTCTATTTAAACTGAACTAGTTAGGTGCATGTCTTTGAGGAAATCGTCTTGATTTCCTTGATTACTACAGCGATAGCAATAGCGTCTCTTGCAGTTGTGTAATGAGTGTCTATTGTATCCAGTTTCACTTGTATTTTATCAGTATCTTCGTTATCAGTCTTAACTGGATTATCCATTGAATTTGATGCTAAGTCTACATCATTCACTGATTATGTACTTTTCTTATCACACCTCCATGCCAAATAACCTCTATCTGCGTCCATCATTTTTCATTAACAAAAATTGTGTCATAATTTACACCTCTATGACATAACATGTTACCAATTGAAGGAAAGGCAATTCTACAAATAATTTTATATGCATTATTAGCAATATTAACTTGAGCAACGATAAGTTTAAGCTTTATTTACATAGTTAACAATTGCGTATAGCCCCCCTCCTCGTGGCACTCTTGAGGCATGTGGAGACCCACGGAGCGGGCCTTAGTATCGCACCACCACCTCGAGCAGCCTGCTCGGGGCGATCCTGACTATTCAACAGCCACAACAGATGCCGAACCAAAACATGCAGTTTAAATTATTCATAGTGATGTTAGTGCTCCACTGTACTACGGGAGAATATTTTAAAACGAAACGTAAGTATTTTTGTATCAACATTCAATATTGCATCGTGCCAATTTTTACGATGACCTACATAGTGTACAAAGCTCTGTTTCTGTGATAATTCCCGGTGCCGGTGTTGTGTTCCATAATGTTGTGTTGCATAAATCGATTATAGCCGTTATATCATGAAACGTTACGGCATTTTCTAAGGTATCGAGTGGAATGATCGAGTCGGCGCGACAGTACTCGATTGCAATGCTATTATTAGTACGTTTAATTAACACTATTTCTGTAATAATACTTTCTCCAAGTAATAATTGGTATTTTGCAACGAAGTGTTCCTATTTTATTTGTGGCGCAAGTGTGAGTTGTTTAATGTTAACAAAATGTGCAGAACAGGAAAGATTTATTTTCCACGGTAGATTAAAATATTGCTACTTTACTGCCAGCTAACGTGGTTCTATTTATTTTCATTTTCAATATGCAGAAAATACTGGTTCACTTTGGTATACTGTAAAATACGTGTTTAACGTAATCGGTGTGCAAACGGTTTTCAAACTATTTTAGTTACTCTGTTTAATATGCATTTTTAATGTTATTTTTCGGTCATTATCGTGAAACTGGAGTGTCCATTTTGTGGTCATTAATAATTTATCAATCTTGCGAATTATTTTTATTCCGTTTTTAATCTGATTTCATTTAAAACATGATTCAACATTAGACAAACAGGTATAAAGTTGTACTACAGTAGAACTATCTAGAAAATATTGTTAATCTTATTTCTTACGTAATGAGACGTGCACGCACTAATGTTATAATTATTATCTATGTTAATTAACCCATTTATTTAAGCTATGTTTAGTTTTGTATGTTGGTTAATATTAGTTAATTGTCTTTTCCACCAGAAGTCAAATGTTTAAATGCAGCTTTGTGACTTTGATTATCATGTCCTATTTTTCTTTTTCCTATATTAGCATTATAACAGTTTTCTTTTGAGATATATGTGGAGTAGTGATGATTGTAGATTGTATATTATGAAAGTATGAAAGGTGGATGTCTAAAATTACTCTAAGCTTAAATACAAACCCTTTGAAGAAGAAAAATAGGAATGTAAATGTAAAAACCCTAATAAATTATTATTTGTCCTTAAAACTACAGTAGTCTCATCAAGCATATATTACAGTAAGATTAACTTTACTCTGTGGCTTAAATTCGAAGAAGATTGAAGACCATTGACATTTATTTATTCCAATATCGTTCAGCCGTATTTTTTAAATCAATGAGTCATAAGAATCTTCAGAAATTCACGGTGGGTGATAGTATCCGTTCAAACAAGTTCCGAATTATGTGAATGTCAAGGTTAAACGAAAGTAACATGTGCATTTACCTGTTAATCCAATCCATGAAAACGTTATTTTAAACTTAATTTTGCGGACAAGAAGGTTGATTTTTGTTTTATACTAATACGGTTTTGTTTTGTTACAGCTAATTTCGTGAAGACATGCTTGAAAAGCGATCCAGAGTTCGACGCCTGTTCACGGCAAGCCGTTCAACAGTTATTCAATGCACTAGGTCCAGGTAATATAAGCCAAATTATTTATTTTTCACACACAAATTTTCCTCACTCGATATAATGTTTTCTCGTAATTTCTTCGTTGACAAGCACCCTTCTACAATCCATTGGATGGACAGATGACCTAATAAAAGTAGCAGGGAACTACTGGATACTAGGTCGCTTTCAAAACCCATCTTGGGAAGGCATAATGTTCAGCAATGGACTTCTTGTTGTGGCTAAATTATTTTTTTTTTAAATCGTTGCCCCACATTAGTATTTTCTCCTGTGTCGTGGGTATGTTGTAAACGTACATACAAGTTCACATACACAATGACACCCAGACCCGAAACAACAATTTGTGGATCACACAAAGTGTTGTTCCGTGCGGGAATCGAACCCGCGACACGTTGCACGGCAGCTTGCTCAGCCACCGCACCAACCGTGCAGTCGTAGAATATGATACTTATGACGAATAATTTCATTCTTCCTTATTCGGACTTCAATATAATTCTATGACTGCCATTTTGCAATCCGTTCTATCAAGATTTGCACTTAGCAACACACGTGTTTTGCTAGCCTGGTGATTAGGCACACGGTTGCTGACCTAGAAAGGTCTTGCTTAGGTTCAAAGCATTAAAGCGTTTCTCAATTTCAAAATATGTGTTGTTTGGAGTGATGTTACTTTGCACTGTGTTTACCTTTGCCTAATACTCAAAGCAAACAAACAGGCAGGACATTATTGTCGCCTTTTACATGAAATTTACATGTACCCATGCAACATACCAGGGCAACAAGATAATAGAGAAGTTTAAAATAAATATTTCGATTTACATATTACTATCTTATCTTGTGCAACTGTTAACACATTTGTTCGCACTTCGTAGACTAAAAATAAACAAAATGCATTGCTTAATCAAAACATCGGTAAAGTTATCAAGTGGGTGGTACTGGCAATATATTAAAGAAATTACCAAAACAGACGCAACACTTTTGATTGGTTCGAGTGGTACATACATTCGTTGATAGCTCGAGTGGCTACCGGTCTACCAGTCAACGTCGTAAGTAGCTGGCACGCTTTCTGAGCGCCTGGTTTGTTGCACAACTGCTCACAGCTGTTCGTGTTTCGCGGCTTGCACGATGCATGCTACTCGCCAGTTCTGCGCTCTTAGTACATCGTGCCCCCACGCGTTTGTTAACGTTTGCAATTTTTGTTATTATAACGTTTATTTATTCGTTAATTACACATTATTTCATTCTTGTTTATTTCATTATTGAACTAGGTATCGGTTTTAGCCCTTTCAATGTTACACGGTGTTTGGTTGAGAATGATTTTTCGTTAAATATTAAATGCCTTCGAATAGGAACGTGCAGTCCGATTGAAAACATTTCATGTATAAAAAAATTGTTATATTTCCGTACGTATTCTTGCTAGATTTTTCTAGTAGATTACTTAAAGTCGCTAATCTACGAAGAAAGGTATTTTCTAAGTAGGGCCTACCTACGTACTATTAAATAGCTTGTATGATAGTGGGTTGGTAGATTCACAGGCCACTGGGCTAGTCACATAGCCTCAATTACGAAACATTTGTACATAACTTGCGGAAAGCGAAAGCGCTATTTCTTCACCATACTCATGTGACGCGAGGTATCAAATACGGCTTAATACCGCTGTAATTTCATTGAATATGCGTTAGGAAGAACAATTAATATCTTAAAATGTTTAATGCCAATATAAACAGCTTTAAAATGAACAAAATGAATTTCATTTTCTTTCGTATGTAGCGGCTAGCGACATCTAAACGTCACTCACTAAAATTGTATTTATGTTCGTGTATTTGCGTTCTAGGTCTGCCAGAAATTGGAATGGAGCCTTTAGATCCTCTAAAAATACCAAAAATAAGAATCCTACAAGGTGACGGCCCTGTTAACGTGAATGCTGCACTTGATGACGTCACTGTTACAGGGTTTGGAAAGACAGAAGTACTGTCGAGCCAGTAAGTATGACCATCTTGAATACATCGTACCCTGGTACTGCAGACGACTGTTTGATCGACTAAGTTGAGCAAATTGCAGTCGAGTTGCTTGTTTTTTTATAGATTTTTTCATCAATTACTTAATTAACGTTCGTTTGTGAGGATAAAAACTAAATTTAATGTTTCTCTTGTTAAAATAAAAAAATAACCATGTCTTTAGTCTATGTTTATAATCCTAAATCGTATTTTGGTACTTAATTTAGATTCATATTAAATCAATTTTAATTGAATTTTTTCAGAGTCGACAGCAAAACCTACGATTTTCACACAAAAGTACGAGTTCCAAAAATCAGAATAGAAGGAACGTACGATTTGAAAGGAAAAATATTGTTGATTCCATTGGTGGGCCGCGGCATATGTTGGTTTGAGCCAAGTATGTTCATAAAATTAATGATAAAATTAATCACATTTTTGGTTTAACTAAGTACATTTTTTCACTTTTATAATTACTTTTCTCTTTACAGCAAACATGACGATTGATATCATCAGTGATACAAAATTGTACAATAAAGACGATTTCGTATTTTTCAACGTCACCGGAGCACATGTAAAATATAACATCGGAGGATTGAAACTACGTATGAATAACTTATTTGACGGCATTGAGTCGTTGGGTATGTATTATTATTTAAAGAAAAAAAAAAGAATAAAACATAAAGACACTAATTTATATCTGAGACCCGTACTGCCATCTATGATGTTGAATGTGAAGTTTATTACGCCATCTAACGTCGAGAAGTCGAACCAGTCTGCTTAAACGATTATTTACATCTACGCTCTGGTAGGTGGCGCTTCGCTTCAGTAGAACACGAACGCTGTTTAACAATCGAAGCTCTCACGGATTATGGCGCCCTGGTACTAACGTGTTACAAATTGCAACGTTGAGACGTTGGAACGTCGTTGGACGTTTGACAACCGCTCGCTCCACTGTTGCCAATTTTATTCGCAATTTCGATTCGAGCAATCATTTAATTATGCGCAACCTTTATTAAGGTATTATCCTGCAGTTGAATTTGACAAAATATTGACATGCTTCAGTTAAAACGTGAGGAATAAACACTATTATTGGGAAATAGATACGAGATTTTGTTCGACAAGTAACAAATTTTTGCAAAGTATTTTGCAGTAGTTGATCCTCTGGCCTTGATTTATTGTTTCTGGTTTTAACAAGAGATGGCGGGCACGTATCGAAGAGCATGGCGCGGCTTGTTATTTGAATAACAAAGATTATTTACATGTAGGCTTCGTAATATTTTATTTCGTTATATTGTGTATATTAATTTGATTTCATTTCTTTTATTTTCAGAGGAGAGTACCAACGCCTATTTGAATGCAAATTGGCGACCAGTATCCGAATCTTTGCGACCAATATTATCAAAAACCATAGAGGATATTTTACTTGGTTTTATGCAAAGACTATTCCACAATTTACCGGGTGATTTCATGATTGGAGATGTAAAAACATGGCAAAGTAAAAAAAATGAGAAAAAAGTTTAGATTAAAATAGTTGTATTTTAACTACAAATAATTATTTAAAAAAACTACTTAATTAGTAACATTAAGTTAAACTTTTTAAACATGTTTTTAATTACTGTAGATAAATATTTTAAGTTTTAATTTGAATGACGGATGCACGAGAATTTATGCCTGTGTATAATTAATGAGATTATGAAAAATCAAAGTATTTTAATATAAGATGTGTTGTATTATTTTACGTAAAGAAAATGTATAATTTTGAAACTGAAACAATGTAAATTGGTTGTAAATTGAATGAAATGTATATAAAATCGGAATGTTTGGTTATTTTGACTGAAAATCGGTTGTGTTGTGTAAATAATGAAAAACTTTAAACTCAAAATGCATTTTTTATTGACCTCTGCGAAATTATAGGTACCTAATAACTTTATTTTACGTATCAAACTTGACGTTTTGTAAATAAATAATTAAACTATAGAATTTTGGCTCTGGGCCAAAGTCATGAAGTTTTACGAAACCACGTTTTGTTTATACACCTGTTATTTTCAGGTAGCCACTAGCTGGGCTAAGGTCATATTAGTCATCGTTGCGGTTTTAAAACTTGAAAACGAATCACCTACTAGTTTTTTCAATCTAATTTTCTGATAAGTTTCAATTTACTTTTCAATTTCATTAAAAAGTCTAGTCTATGAAATAAATTAGCAAGATAATCTTCACGTCACTAGTAAATTTATTTCAGCTTACAAATTTTATTTATATTTCTTTACATTACAACAGTTTTTATTTATATTTCCGTTCGTTTAAAATTGTTTTTTCTATCACACTGATTTTGAATGAACATAATTTTGGGTAGTTAACTATAAAACCGTCATAAAATTTATCAAGTCATTATAATAAAAAATATATATCTTACCTGCCAAATAGGACGTCCAGGCATTTTGATTCACAAAGGATTTCCAAAAATGTCACAAAAGTACACTAATCACACCCGCGATGTTTCGCGCGCTGCCCACTAGATGGCACTCTCACCAAAGTTGAGAACAAAATAAGCGTTACTCGCTTCTATAACCTGTTTTATACGCCAGCAAAGCTCTATCGATGTAAATACCAGTGCGAAGGAACACGACGCAGAAACGAGGGAACGATCGACAGAAATATCTCCTTACGTGTCCAGCAACGTTTATTGTGGAATTTCTTCGAAATAAATACCTACATAAGTTGATAATTTACACCCATGTCCATACTTTTCAGTTGTATAAATAGTTTTATGGAACCTACTTCTAAATGTTCCACGTTATTCCAGAATACTGCAACTTGCACGTGTCTATTAAATAAACAAAGTTCACTAATTTTAGATCAATTTATTTACAGTTTTACAGTTACATTTTATTGATAACAAATTCAAACAACTCCCACCACTGATTAATTTCGTAGGAAGTAATTTTTCAGAAGAGAATTTTTCTTTAGATTAAAATAAATAAATAAGTGCCGTACGTAGGTATATAAATTGATTAAATTGAAATAGGTATATGATTAAAAAGTAAATATTTAAAGTTTTTTTATTATTAAATTGGACGAAAACTGGCTGACGGTGATGATAATGATGACAATGACATTAAACATAATGTCTTAGAGGTGTTTCAGGAGTTCGTTTTTACAAGTTAACGTTAATTAACATATTTTAATACATTAGTGTTGCTCAGCCTGATCTCAAATTTATACATTTATTTAGGCCGTCAGCCTAATCCTCGTGTACCTAATTACCCACAAACATAACTTGGCCTACTTTTTAAATCAACACTTAGTACAAAAAGTACTATTTTTAGATCCCCTTAGGCTGGTTGCAGAAGATTGTCGGTCAAGAAAACGAAAACTTATTCTTGGCCTCAATGAAATGAGGTTAAAAAATTTCACACTTGCTTTTAAACTTTACGATTCATTATTATCTGCGGATTTTATATGTACGTCTATAAAAATCTACCAGTACAAAGACTCATCTCAAAGATCAGTAAATCAAACGAAGAAAAAGACTGTTTGAAATACTGTATATGCCATTGTACATATTAACTTATGAAGTAGTATTCCCAATCAGAATACATAACGATAAATAAATATTGTTTATTTTGTTTCCGAGTGAAACATAAAATTTGTTTAGCAATCGTCCATTGTGGCTGCAACTGATATAGACATCTATTATTCATACCGCCATCATAATCCAACATGCATATGGTTTATGAAGCCGTAAAACAAATACTGCTCATATCATGAATCATGATATCAACCTACCTGACGTTCTAAATTTGACGTTTTATCAATGTGTTAGTGAGTATTAAAGATTTTCGTAGTGTGCGGTCGCGTCATATCAGTCATCGATGCATTTATGTTGCACGGCCGTGTAATGCGGTTTGGTGCATCGAACTACTTCTGTATTCTGCAATCCTTGTACATGGAGTTCCTGGTAAGACAATTTGTTGCAGTTTCTCACAGCGTACTCTTACGCATACAATGCACATGTTCCACGCAATGACTTCGTCGCTACTGTGCAGACATTGTTGAAGGGATAGGTTCCGTTCTATTAATATAATATTTCTATGACCCTTTTGTATCTGTTGGGTGTTCTAAAACGTCTTTTAATACCCTTCTAAAACATTAAAACAAAATCTTAAAAATATACTATTCATAGATGCACATAATAGGACGTAAAATAGTACTAGTCTATTCATCTATTGCACAGTTTGCAATAGACGACGTTCCTAGGATGCACATTTATCGGCAGTAATGTTATATGCCACGTGGAATTTACTAACTGGAATAAATAAATAGCTACGCATAAAAATGCACGAATGCATTATGACAACTAGACACGCATAAAGGCAAAAACAGCAGATGAAGGTCGGTCCGGTGAATGACCGAGAGATGCGCATTGACCCAGAGAAGGGTGCTCGAAGGGGATAGGGCCCCTTTGGTGTCGCTCACAAAAGGAACGAGCACCAGGGTAACATAAACGCTAGAAGGTTAAGCTGCATACATGCACTTTGCACCGAATGAGCGTGACGTCATTCTGTTCGTGCTGCATTGTTTACCGCTGCATTGCAATTTAGTAATGTAATCATTCATTTACGCGCTGTTGTATCTCTCATACTTGTGTTTGTACAGAAGTTTGTATTGTCGATTAATTGTCACGCATCTTCAAACTGTCCATGGTCCATGATGTTTGAGTTAATTGCTTCAGTATTTTACGCAGCCTGATATTAATGAAACAAATTAATAATATTAATAAAACAAACAATTTTATTTCTGACTTTATCAAACCGACTGAACATAACGTTTACTTCAAAAAATCGTATAAATAAAATTGATCAAATTGACATATTGAAAACACAAAAATATAACTAAGATCCGAAATTCAAAAAGGTCATAGTGTCACCCTAATTTGCCTTTCCTATGCCTTTCCTATCAAGCACATACCAAATCAAGATTGTTATATATTTTAGACAGCAACATTTTATAACATCGTTTGTCTGTTATGAGTTAAAAGATATTTTAGGCACTAGTGATGATTGAATATGTTTGACGTGTTTGCCCTTACGTCCCACCCTCCGAGGTTATTATTGAAAAACACGTTATATTCGCTTCGTGAACGAAATCGTTCGTTTAGTCAGTAAACTGAAATAGGTCGTACATGCTTCTGAACGGTTCAAGGTAGTATATGGGACCAGAAATAGCCTGTGAGTAAACTGCTTAAAATAAATTATCATCCCACATGTCGCGTCAAACTTTTGCGTGTCTGGTCATTCGTTAGCGAGTCTTCGTTATCGAATAGAATAGAACCTTTGCCATCAATTAGTACATCAGAATTTTAATTTTCTTTCTTTTCATTTCGAGTTACCTATAATATAATTTTTTTTAAATAATAAATAATATTTTTCACACTCAGGTTTTGTCATTGAGGACAATCGAGCGGTCCATTCCCATATTTATATTTAGACACATATTATTAAAACAGAAAAGGCTTCCTCAAAAAATCCCTTTTCCTTTTCATATCTCTTGAATGTTCTAGAATAAAAAAATCTATAGGTTCATTGATTTTTTTTATTCTAGAACATTTTTCTTGGCTAAGTTACGGCCGTTAGAATACATAAATGTGTGTAGGTTTTATTAACGATGTTAGAAAATACTTTTTCTGAGTCAGACATTTTTTTACGAAGTATTTTGTATTGTATCACCGACTTGGCAGAGGAGGTAAATGTGTTTGCCAGAAATATTTTAGTTTTCCTAATGTTGTATCAAAGAAAACTATTTTTTAAGATTTTTATTGTCTGTGGTTTTCGTTTCTCTAAGCACTAAATACGACTGTATGACTAAAAGCCTTTTATTTCGATCAATAAATAAGAAATATCTACTACATAAACAATAACTACATTTTTCTACTTCAAAAACAACCAACACCACTCTAAAAATTACAATAATGGAAAAACAAGACAATAATGAATTAAAAAAAATATTCCAAAAACAAAATTTGAATGTTAATTCTTTTTTCGAAGCGTATTTGAAAATTACTGGCCAGATAAATTCCCTCGTAATAAAGAGGTCAGCCGTCAAGTATGACAAATCTAGCGGGGCCACCAAGAATGGCACGTTTGGAACGTAAGTGGAGAATCTGGAGCAGGCACTTACGATCGCCATGTACCAGGACTGCATACAGCGATGGAAGTAATCAGACCGATTTATCGCAGCCTACCGGCGGATAGCGGAAACTTTGGTTAGTTTCATGTTCATGGTACCGGTTTATGTTTACTTTATTCGATAAGAGATGGCGTTACTATACTACGTAAGAAAACTGTAGATAGTGTTGGTGGTCGCTATAGTAGCGCCCCTAGTGACAAGAATTTGCATGTTCGTTACGTCAGCTATGATTCATATTCATCGTATGTAGTTTCTGTTGCAGTAATTATTATTGCTCGTTTAGTTTTAAACCATTGTCTTTGATGTAAAAAATATAGTTTAGGAGTGGGAGCTCG